ATGTAAAGTGACGTTGGTAGCAACCACTAGTTTTGCGGTGGCGACAGGACAGCCGAAGGGAAGTGGTCCATATTCCTTCTTGATGGGAGGAAGCTGTGGTTCGCGCTTATTGTCGCCATACTTGGCGACAACGACGAGGTATCCTACTCCTGAATCGACGGGCATGCGGCTTCTTGAAGCGGCGATACGGTAGTACGCGTCGGCCATTTGCCCAAAGATATTGTCGTGCGAGCGGTATCTCTTGTGTAGCCGCGTGACGTAGATGATGTAGTCTCCGACCTTCTCTTCTAGGATGTAAGAGATACAGGCGCTAGCGGCCATTATCTTGTTTCCAAACATAAGACGTAATCGTATTACGTTGCCGGGCTGCAGGAGGTTGGTAGCAAATGGAGGACCGTCGAGTAGGAAGAAGATTCGTGGGCCATGTAGCCACGGGTTGAGTGCTACGAACTGCAAACATAGAGGAGGTGTGCGAAGGAAAAGGTCGGCTGCCTCGATAGGCTGGTAGGGAGAAGCTCTGGGCGGGCGTGTTTGGTATTCTGGTACGAATTTGACAGTAGTAGTGATATGGACCTCGATGTGGTTGACCTTTTTGGGGCGCTGCGGAAACAGAACCCTGATGTACTGAGGGAGTGACGACCTCTCGGCCTGTGCGAGAAGCGGAGTGGTCTCGTTATCGGCTAGCGGAGTGCGTTCGGGTAGGTGAGGATCGACAGCGAAGGGCTTCACCCATCTTGTTAGACTACGCCATATATGTTTGGCAATTGCTTTAAACGCCTGCATGCTGACTAGGTAGTTGGTGAGTACGGTGGGGGTTGCCTGTTCCTGAACGCGTGTTATGGGCATGGCGTCTACGCGTCACGACTTTCTGATCACGTGATCACAGTATGTTGTGAATTTGGGTGTTTTGGCTATGTCCGAGCACCAAACAGATTTGGTGCGCGACAACGCGCCTAAAGGTTCTAGGATTTGTAGTGACTCAGGCTATGACTCGACTGTGACTCACAAGGAACATTGTAGAATAGTATAGAACGTTATGGTAAGTACTGGAAGGTTCTAGTACAGTACTTGTATAGTAGTATATAAGACGCTAGCTGAAGTCGATGGACTTCAGCTCGTCCATCTGTTATACACGCCCTTAGCGCTATGACGATTGACGGTTCGGTTACGGCCTCTCAGAACTAAGACTAAGACACCGCACCCTAAACACCACCACCACCACGCTCGACCTAGTGCGTCTAGAGTCCGAACTCTCACGCCTAAGTCACACGACACAGCCTAGACTACAACGACAGACTTTACGCCAAGTCTAACAACCACGATGGTTCGGTACCCGCCTAAGGTACCACGATCTAGGGGTTCTTACATTACTGATGATAGATTCATCTCCGACTTTTCCATTGTTCTGCTTAGTACTTATACCGGCTTGTCTGTACCATATTGCTCATTTCCAATATCGACTAGGCTTTCCCCTTTGCTCCTAAGCGGACCTCGAGTGTGTAGCGACCCTTTGGGTCAAGTCCGCCTCTGCCCCGCTTTCCTCCGACTTTGCTCCGACTTTGCTCCGATGTCAGCATACCACTCTTCTCGATATTGTCTCTGAATCACATCCACCCGACTCTGTGTTGTGGTCTGGGCAGTACGCCCCTGCTTGTTGGACTTAGGTCCACTTGTCCCAGACCCGTTCAGCTTCGGTATCGTTCATCTCCGCTTTTCCCGTGCATCGGACCTCCACATTTCCGATATTTTTGCCCCGCAGTTTCGTCCCTGACAGATGTCAACGTTGTGGTCATGATCGTGGAGTCCGGCACTGGTGGACAGTGTTGGCAAACCGTGCTCTAACCTGGTGGCGCAAAACAAGGCGCAGGTTCAGTGTATGCCAGTACAGGAGAGGCCGGTAAAAGCTTGCAAGAACTGTAAATCGGGATACCACTGTCACTGTGTGAAATTGGCATTAGGTGGCTGCAGAGCGATAACGCTAAGGGCCTGTTCGGTAGCAGGTGCAATCAGCGCTGAATGCCATTCAGCGCTGAAAAGATGATAATCCCGCAGTGCCACATGCACACGTTACATGCGTGGGAGTCACACACCACCAGCCGGTGTTGCACAACGATGGTATTCATACCGTTTTGCGAATGATGTTTTGCTAAAACTCCAAGAACAATTGGCTGAGTAGTCTACTTCAGCAACTAGATATGATACTGTATTTTTTTCCGGAGTTTAAACTTCTGTGTTGGGATAATCTCGGTGTTATTACCAGAAAAAGATATTCCGCTAGAAGATACCAGTGCTTCAGTGCTCAGAAAAATATTGATAAAATACAGAGACAGAGCCTACATTTTTCCAAGTATATACTATGGGAGTTTAGAGCATGTAGATCTAATGGAATCAGAATGCAGTCAGAAACTGACAGCCAAACGGCGCAACATGGCGCGGCACAGTATGTGACTGACGGTGACGGTCACCAGGGGTCACATTGCGATTATCATCTTTTCAGCGCTGAATGGCATTCAGCGCTGATTGCACCTGCTACCGAACAGGCCCTAAAGCCTCCACGCGCGAGCTCCTACAATACGTGGTCCAATGCTAGGCTATCGAATGAGGAAACCTACTCACACCTTCTTACCACTCAAGGTTCAAGGAGAAGCGCTCCAGCTCACAGTGCAAGCACGGAAGAGCGGTATTGTAATTGGTAATGCACGCTAACCAGCCGTTTTGCTTTCCCTCTTGAGCGAGGCAGCAAACATACCGAATATAATTCATTGGCCATTTCATCATTGGACGAACGCTCTCATAGCTCGCGACGCTCTGACAGTAGGTACGTTTGAAGTATACATACCATCGACGAGGGCCATTTCCCGTCATGCTGGCATCGCTTTCCGGGACATCTTCTCTTTCTCTTGCTTGGGCTGGTTCGGCGCCCTCGGCTTCCACGAATCCGATGTCTCCCAGTCATCCGAGTTTGGCGGCGGCAGCGCCAAGTTGAGCGTCTCCCCCTTGCTCCTCTGCGGAGTGGCAGCTGGAACGTCGGGTAGTCTGGGAGGGCTAGACGCGGTCGCATTGGCTGCTGCGGGAAGCTCCTTCATCCCCCCCTTTGCACGGGCCGAGCTGGCGGATCCATCTCGCAGCGACATACTCTGCATGGAGTGCGGCAGATGTCTACGTGGGAAAGCGTGAGATACGGCATCAATGAAGACGAGGATCAACCAGCTTACTCAATATTCGCTCGCCTCTCACGAGCGAACTCTCCGCACGACTCTCTGAACTTGCTGAGGAGACCCCCAAGATCATTGTAAAACTGCATCGTTATAATGCATCGGAACCCGCCAGGTTTCAAATACACAAGCGGACGAACCTTCAGACCCTCCTCCAAGTTCCGCATGATCTCCTTATACTTGTGGTACGCGAGTCCGAGCGATTGTAGCCCGCGTTCGCGCTCCTTCACGGACGGGTCATCGACCCTGGACAACAAGAACACCTCATTCTTGCGCTGAAACACGTAACAACATCATTCAGCGCCATTCTACGCTTGTCAAACCTTCCTCTCACCTTTAACACCTCCAGCATCTCGCCCTGCTCGCGCGCCTGCCCAGTCAGGTCCTCCGCAAACCTCTCAAACTTGCGCATCTCCTCCTCCAACACGTCCTCAAACATTGCCGGCCGCACCTCCGCCCACCTCTCAATGTTTGCCGCCGCCCTCAATATGCGCGGCCGGATATCATCCATCTCCACGGCCACCTTCGTCCGCCTCACGATCGCCGCCCTATCCCGCCGCAGATCATCGAGCGACTCAAGCAACACGCGCACCTCGCGCGCCGCCGCCCGCGTTCCGCGACCGTCCCCAACTGCCGCTCCCGTCGACGACGGCACATACGCCTCTAGCTCAGCCTACCCGCCGCCACGCCACAAACACCGTCAGCGCCAGGCGGCATATTGACGAAAGCATGCATGTCTTACGTCGTCCCATGTAAGCCGCCTCACGGCATCCTCCCACTCCTCCCACTTCCTCCTCACCTCCGCGTCCGAATCCGCCGCCTTGACCAGCACCGCACGATACCTCGCTTCCTTGCCCACGAGCGGCGCGTTCGCCTCGTACGACGTCGGCCAAGGCGGCTCGCCAGCGTAATCTTTCCTCGCTTCTTCGTCATCCTCGGCTTCCTGATCGAGGACCTCCATCGCCTGAACAACCGGCTCATGAGGGGAATATCCGACAATGAGAGATAAGCGAAAAGCGCCCACCTCGTCGAGTATCTTCTCGTTCTGCCGCGCGAGCCGCCGCACGTCTACGATCATCGCCTCCACCCGCGCAGGCCCGTCATCCTGCCTCACCTCATCCACCTGCGCGAGCAAGCTAGGCGGCAGCCCGACCGGCCTGTCGAGCGCGTCAAGCGTTGCCGGCAAATTCAGTGCGAGCAGCGTACTGCCAACCTCGTTGGTCAATTGTCGTGTTCGGAACAACAACGATTGGTAGAACGTACCTGTCCGCGACGCGATCGAGTTCTTCCGCCTTCTGCAGCACCTCCTCCTCAACCCAGTCATCCCGCCTATGCTGATATATATCTGCAACGACAAGCATCATCGCCACGTCAGACAATTGCCGACGCCTCTCGCGAAGATGACACGCACTGAGAGCCTCCTTCGCGCCCCACGCCAGAAGCTCCCCAAGCACAACCCGCCCCTCACCGACCGCCTTCTTTGGATCCTGCAGTAGAGGTGGAACGATCGGCTGCACGATCGAAGCCGGAGCGGGCGCCGGAAGCGCGGACATGTCCGGCACATCATTGTGATAGATGTAGTCGTTGTCTCGTTCGGCGAGCGGGAGCTCCTTTGTCAGTTTGTCGAGGAGCGACTGCGTATATACAGACAGCCGTCAGCCCACAATCTTCCGGATTCGTGTTAGCACAAGAACGGCAAAACAACCTTAGCATCATTGAATACAGCACTGGCCACGCCACCGCGTCGGGCAGTATCATACGCCGCTTGAGCTGTGGCCTTTGCGAAACGCAGGCGGGCGACCTGCTCGCCGAACCTATAGGCGATCCCTCTCGTGAGCACCTGACCAATCGCCCAGTCGGAACCGAGGCGCACCGCGACCGGTTTGCGTCATCTTGGCCCTTGCGATACTGCGCCGCCGCCTCGAAGTGCGCGCGTTTCGCGTCAAGATACGCCAACCAGTTCTGTCCACCGCACCGAGCACGTTACCATCCGATATCAGGACGAACAAGGGATTTGACAGACATACGGATGGGAATGCGCTTTGCACCTCGAAAGACGCGTTCCGAAGGGCAGACGCCGCGGATCCATAGAACGAGGATACCTGCGCGCCGGCGGGGTTAGACCGGGATTAAAGCATAGTACCACATAGTCGACTACTCGCCGCCATTGCCAGCCTGGCGATCAACGCATCCTTGTAGTTCGAATCTAACACATATATTAACACATCTGACCAACAAGAGCGAGAACAATTGGTAGGGGCGTACCGGTAGTCGCTCGTTGCCAGCTGCACTCCTGTGCCTGGGCGAGCATTAGCCACCGCATGCTCTCCACGGACGCATTTGCCAAGTCGATCGGCTGGTCTTCGCCCGGCACGAATGATTCCTGAAGCTTGGGTAGCGCAGCGTTAGCCAGATACTCCAGCGTGCCTGCTGCGTTCTAAGCTCAGTCAGCACGGCGTGGCGGAGCGCGTGGAGGCACAACGGCACCTGGTAGAGCGCACTGGCGCGCCGGATTCCGTCCCCACTCGTACGATCCTCGCGTGTGGCGAGCTGGGAGTAGAGAGCGGCGAGATTGAACACGACGGCGGCGCGCTCGAGGAGGAGATTGTTGAGCGCGAGCGGGACCATGTCAGGCTTCGCGAAGGCGCTGGCGTAGTGGACCTCGAGTCCGATCTGCAGAAAGAGCATAGCTGAGTCCGGTATGCATGTCGTCGTGAGTACAATGAGGGTGCATACGGCAGGAGGTAGCTTCGTGAGGATGAACACGAGTTGAGCATGGTACCTGCAAGAACACACGAGCATGGTCAATCCGAGCCCCTTTCATGAATGGAACGACGACAACTTACTGTATATAGGGGTCGACCTTGTCTATATGAACAGTTCCCGGCATCGCCTGCGCGCGCAACGTCTCCCATCGCTCAACATCCCACTGGAACGCGTCCGGGTGCGTCTCCGGGTGGTTCGCGGCGATGTACGCGCGCACGGCGGCGCGCAGCTCGAGGGGCCACGTTTTCTTGAACGGGATCGCGAGTTGGTTGGACATCATGATACGTCGATGGTCATAGATTTGAACGTGCTGTGTTGGTACATGAATGGATTGTGAACGCAGAAAAGCTATTCAAGCCGCACGTAGTGGGCCGGAGATCGCCGCGAGCTACATTCGACTCTCATATTACGTACAATCATGCATCAACCCATACTCTGCTACAACCCATGCTTCTAGGTTTTCATCTCGGGCATGGGTTTATGGGAGAGGGTCATGAGAGAGTCGACTGTACTCTACATAATAACGTCGACGTGGCGTCACCTTTCTACTAACACCAGCTCCTTCGCTGAATCTTTGTGGAACCGCTGAGCATCTTTCTGGGACCTTCATCGGAGGGCGTGCGAGAATGGAAACAATGTGAGCGTTTGGCTGTACATTTATTCAGCTGAAATCAATCGATCTGACGATGCGCGATCCTCAATCTGCTTCAGCCATGCTCATCCCGCTTGTAATTCGTGCTCTTGTCTGCCGAAGGACCTGGAATACATACTCGTCGTGCTTTCAGACGAAGACAGACAGAAGATGGAAGCGCTTCAGCTAGCCCTTCTGAACCTGTGTCAAGAGACTGTTCCTCAGCGCGCGAAGACTGGTCATTGCGTGTCCTGTTCTTGCCCCTCGGTAGGTTCCGCAGTCACCGTCAAAGATTACTCTCGTCGTATCTGAAACGCACACGGCTGGGAAGCTGCACTCGACCAAGACGCAGATACAGACGATTCGTAATAAGATGTTCTCGCTTCGCGTTGCGTATAACACGGAGTGTCCCGTCAATCGCGTCCCGGTGGAAGTGCTGGCGGGAATCTTCGTGCGCAACCTGCCTTTTGAGAACGAATACTTCGGCCGCGATTACATCCAAATCCCCGATTCAACTCACATATTGGCATTAACGCAGGTCTGCAGCTTTTGGCGCCAAGTCGCGCTAGGCACCCCGGCTCTATGCTCTGTCCTGTCAGTCTCGGGGATGCCCGAGCTCGCCCTGACGCAGGCCAGCCGGCTTTCAACCCAACCTTTGCGGGTTTTCTGCTCGGGTTGGCCTCCTGCTAATTATGCGGGCTCCTCGACGGTACTCTCCCAAGTGATTTCCGAGAACCCCGACCGTATTGCAGGACTGTGGATCCCCAAGATCGTCACGCACGATATACGTTGACCGCACTGACTGCGCTGCCGGACACAGCCCCTGCCATGAAGAGCATGTCAATCGACGTACCATATATAGCGAACAGCGAACAGGAACAACTTGCGATGATGAATACCCGTCTCCTCGAACTGCGTACGCCGATGCTTGAACATCTCCGCCTGTCCAACATCTCACTCCCGGTCTTGTGGGCATCCCAGCTCATACGCTCCGCGAATTTACGTCTCCTGTCCATCTTGCTCACTGATCCGGTGGACATCACTCAGGCGCCTTCCCTCACGGACATTGTGGGCGTGCTCGGAACCCTCACATCGCTAGAAAACTTGTCGATGGATGGTTGGCTGGCTCCGAGCAGCCCACCAGCGCTTCTGCCCAAGAAGGCCACCATGCCGCGCTTGCGTGAGCTCAATCTAAGCGGGTTTCCCAAAGGTTGCATCAACATCCTCGGAAATCTAGACTTCGCCCGGCCGCTCTCGTTGCTCCTAGTGTACATCTTTCTCGACCATGACGACGACGATCTCCACGCAGAGGAAATATTGCGGATACTCGAGTCCCATGGCGAGCTGCCACCGGAGGTGGCATCGAACATCTGTGGGGATGATGGATATGTAGAGGTGGCATACGGACGACTGCTGCCTCGGGGCCAATACTCGTACCGACGTCCGATCACGCTGGTTTTCCCGGGTGACATCGAGACCAGTCGAACTGAGACGGTTCTACCTGTGCTCCCTCGATCGAACACAACGGCGCTAGCGCTGGACGGAACTTGCCCGATAGATTGGGGTTGGCACCATAACCTGCGGGAGGTTCTCCGACAGTGGTCTACGTTACGCGAAGTCTGCGTCACGCACACAGAAATTGCCGGTTCGTTCTTTAGAGCACTCGAAACCGCAGAGGAGGACAGGCAGGACCGATCTCGATGAATTCTGCCTAACCTGGCTTCGTTGGAAGTGTCGGAGGCCCATGGTGACGAAGACGTGATGGATGAACTCCTAGAGCGCCCATGGTTTGAGATTTGCCGGGATGAAGTGGAGATGCGCAGCCAGGTCAAGGCGGAGGACGGGTCTCCCGTCTTGCGGTCGCTGACATTCAGGCAGTGTGACGAGATCCCAAGCGAGGTATTGGATGCACTGAGGGAGGCGGTGCCAAGGATGCGGGTGACGAACGAGCAGGCGTCCGCAGCTTGAATAGTAAACGACAATTCTGGTACGTAGCCTTGTCTGCAGGTTGACCAATTCTCCCGCTGATAAGGTAGGGCTCATTCATATATAGCCACTATCACGCGCTCAGACCTGTCACGCTATGGAGACTTTTGGCGGGGGAACGGAGATGGAGCGTTACATTGGCTCACTACTCGTTTGTCCGACTACTTTTCCCAAAAATTTTCTATACAAAAGATAGATGCAGACTGTGCGCAGATATTGTATAGAAAATTTTCTTAATGCGCTTCTCTCACGCCTCGCTGTAAGGGTTCGAGGTTCGCGGTTCTGAGCTGAAGTGAGGAACGAACGTAAGCGCAAGAACTTAGTCTATGCGCGCGCGGGCGTTGCGGTGGCGGTGCAAGTTCTTCCTCGCCATCCGCACCGTCCGCTACCGAGTCCAGCATACGGCGAGCTCGAAAAGGGCCGCCGTAACTCGAATTTGCACAACAAAGAACAGCACCAACATTCCTTAGGGATCAATACAGAGAACTTTCCCTTAAACCCCCCCCCGGTGCTAGCATCATGCCACGTATTGACGCTAACCCGCATGAACAGGTCGCGCCCAATTTTGCAGGGGCAGCCTTCACAGCCTGCAGGCGGTCCATGAGCAACCAGGATGGCCTGACGGACGAGCAAGCAGCGCAAGCCCTTTTAGACGCCTGGACCAACGACATCAATCAAGAAAAGGCGGCGTGGGATCGTCAGGTCGAAGAGGACCGGGAAGCCGCGCGGCTTGCAGAGAAAGAGAGGTTGGAGCGCGAAGCAGCGGAGAAAGCCGAAGAGGAGAAGGAGGCCGCAAAGAGTCGGCCCAAGGTCCCAATTCACATCAAGGACCGCATGGTCGGCCACGAGTCCGCCCCATCAACCGACAACAAGGCCCTCAAGAAACTCCGAGCCTACAAGTACATCGAGTTGTGGTTCTTCGGAGCCGAGGGGCGGCGCAGAGCCACGGAGGACGCACTATCGAGCGGAGATGACGCCCTGTATCTGGCCCGGGACGGCGACGGGGTAGCGCTGCGACAGGCCGCACCCAGCCGAATAGCGAAGCACTGCATTCCGGACCGAGAGCTCACGTGGAGAGAGTTCTCTATCGCGAAGACAGGGCTCCTCGAGGACATGGCCCGGGTCGGATGGCCGAAAGCAATAGTGCAAGACTTCGTTGACTTCTTCTTCGCAATCGACAACCATCCGAGCCGCTTCGAGGGTCCGCACGGAGACCCATGCCTTCTCCTCTATCAGGAGGAGGTTCGGAAGCTCTGGCACCTCGACTACGAGCGCAATCCCGCAGAAATCTTCAACCCAGCGATCTTCAACAACGAGCAGTTGCAGCGGATAACGCGGAAATATCTGAACGTGCAAGCCAGCGAAGCTAACTACGCGTGCGTCATAAGTTCCTGTGACTGTGAACACCCGCGCTGACTTTTCCTTTGCTCATCCCCTATCCGCCTGTCAACCGCGATCGGTACCTCAACCGCGCACGAACGACGAACGACGTCACTACGTCTTATCGCAACTCCCACCGGAACGCGATCACTATCGCGCCGGCGGCCCGCATGCCCTCAATCTGCACCCGCGATCACTATCGCGTCCGCGTGGACATCCTCCCGCACGCCCACGGGCCGGGGCACGCATTCATCACGTTCGCACCCGATTGTGCACCGGGACGCCTCATCCCCACCCGCTACGCACTCGCGGCGCCGCTCAGCATGCGGAGAGCCGCACCAGCAGCCCCAGGGGGACCAGAGCGACACGAGAGAAGACGCTCCGCAAGGTCGGCCGCCCCGTACGCGCGCAGCGAAGGAGATCGCAACGGGCGCGAGAGGGAACATCTCGGTAGATCGCAGTCTTTTCGCCAGGGCACCAGCGCCAGCGCCCACGCGCCGTGTGCCCTCTGCCTCGGGCGGCATCCCCACGAGGTCCGATTGTGCAGATCCCGGACCCTCTGGGATGGAAAGACGAAAGCGTACGCCGCACGGGACACCAGAGGACAACTGGTCGACCCGAGCGGCAGAGTTCTCTGCATCGATTTTCAAGTCCGCGGATGCAAGCGCGACTCGCACGTCGAGGCCTACCGCCACACCTGCTCGGGGTGCGGCAAAGGCAGTCACGGCGCTCGAGACTGCCATCTCGCAGAGAGCCAGTAAGGCACTCACGCCGCTGCGAGCCGACGCCTGGCATCGCCTGCTCGCACGCAGCGACCTCTTGTACAAATACCCCGGTCTCCCTAGATCCATTCAACACGGTTTTGACGCGGGCATTCGCCCGCCTACCTCTACTTTCATTCCGGCTAATAGCGCGTCCATTGACGAGCATCGCGAAGATTTCGAAGGCATCATTCAGAAGGAGTTCGAGAAAGGTCGTTACCTCGGCCCCTACTCAAAGCGCGACGTCGAAGAGGCGCTGGGGCCGTTCCAGACGTCACCGCTCTCCATCATACCAAAACCGCACAATCCAGCCAAGTTTCGGCTTATCCAAAACCTTTCCTTTCCGCACCACCCGTGAGAGGGCGTTTCCTCGGTTAACTCCGTCATCGACGCCACGTTGTATCCCTGCACATGGGGCACTTTTGCCACCGTGGCCCTGTCATTGGCGCGGCTCCCGCCCGGCTCGCAGATCGCGAGCCGCGACGTGGCGGAAGCCTATCGCACCATACCAATCAAGCCCGAACAGTGGCCGGGCCTCGTGGTGCGAATTGGCGCAGGAGACGCGTTCGCGGTGGATACCTGCGACTGCTTCGGTTTGCGGTCAGGTTGCGGGATATTCGGCGCAGCGGCAGACGCCTTCGCAGACCTCGCAAGAGAGGGCGGCATGGGCCCGGTTTCGAAGTGGGTGGACGACTTCATCTTCGCGCGAGTTAAATGCAGTTTCCTGGAAGAATACAACTGCAGGCGCCGGGGCTGGAAGCGCAGCATCGATCAGCACGGCGGCACGCGCCAAGACCGGAGCCGACTTTGGTATGGCGGGGCAGAGCTTCCGGACGGCCGCGTCGAGGAGTTTGACGACGACATGGCCTTCCCGCTGCGTGACCTGTCGCAGACCTCCGAACGCTCGCAGGCGGACACAGAATTCTGCTACGCGATGTGCGACGTCGATCGCCTCTCCGAAGAGCTCGGTTGGCCGTGGGGCGCGGACAAAGACCACCAGTTTGCGGAGATCGCGCCGTTCACAGGTTTCGAGTGGGACCTTCGATCCCGCACGGTCGCCCTGGGCAAAGGGAAGCAGGCCAAGTATGTTTGCGCCATCCAGGAGTGGAACGCGCAGCGAACGCACACGCTGGACGACACGCAGAAGCTCTTCGGTAAGCTCCTGCACGCATCCCTGGTGGTCCCTGAAGGAAGAGCTTACCTCACCGAGCTGGAAACCATGCTCGGTGTCTTCGGTGATCGTCCTTTCCAGCCGCATACCCCTCCCAAGGGCACAATGGCCGCTCTCGAGTGGTGGATGGTCACCTTACAGCGAGCCGAACTCAGGCGGCCCATTCCCGGGCCCGTCGAGCTGTTCGACTCCGGAGGCTACTCCGATGCGAGCTCCAGAGTGGGCATCGGAGTGGTGGTCAGGGGCCGTTGGAGGGCTTGGAGGCTCCTCCCAGGCTGGGACGCAGGCGGCAGGGAGATCGGATGGGCCGAAGCCGTCGGCTTCGAGCTACTCATCCGGATCATCAACATCTTACACGACGCGGAGGCCAAGCACATCAAGGTTTACGGAGACAACCGAGGCGTTGTCGAAGGTTGGTGGAACGGGCGAAGCCGTAACCACCACGTCAACGGAGTCTTCAAGCGCATACACGCTGAAGCCGTCGCGGCAGGGCATACATTTCACACAAGATATGTCACCAGTGCCAGCAACCCCGCCGACGCGCCCTCGCGAGGAGTCTACCCGCCGCAAAGCTTGCTACTCCCTCCCGTACCCCTACCCGAGGCCCTCGCGGGACTCCTTATCGACAGCCTGGAGCCACTCACCCAATGCGAGCACAAGGCCAGAAGTGAGGGCCGAGCGCACGAACCTCGGCCGAAAGAGCAGAGCGGCGGCGAAGCCTTACGAAACTCGATTGCGCAGGCTGATCTCGAACAGCGCAACGAGCAATTCGCTCGCGCCAACTTCGGCGGGTGGTAGGCGCGAAGCGGGAGCGGTGCTCCCGCAAGTTAACCGTCGTCTCGCGTGCCCGGCCGGCCAGCGGCTTTTGCTATGGACACCAGCGGGAGGCCGAACGACCTTCGGACCCGATGGGCAGCCGTCGGGATTGGACCAGCGCGACCTCGACCGGGTGCGCAAAGTGATGGCTCAAGCGCTAGCCCCGTCAACCGCAGAGACGTACGGCGCGGGGCTAGTCGCATTTCATGCTTTCTGCGACGAGCGCCAGATAGCCGAAGAGCAGCGGACGCCCGCGTCCGCGACACTAATGCTCGCCTTTCTCGCAGCTTTGGCCGGCCTATACGCGGGATCCACGGTCGCGAATTACTTCTACGGCGTACGGGCTTGGCACCTCATTCACGGCGTCACCTGGAACATGGACGACGCGGCCATGCAGTCCATGCTGAAGGCGACAGTCAAGCTCACGCCGGCTGCCTCGAAACGCAAGAAACGAGAGCCATATACCGAGGACATCATTCGCGCGATACGGCAACAGCTCGCCCTCGACCAGGGTTTCGACGCCGCGGTCTACGCCTGTCTTACGGTTGCGTTCTACGCCGCGGTCTACGCCTGTCTTACGGTTGCGTTCTACGCCTGCGCACGGGTCGGCGAGCTCACCGTGCGCAACCGCAGCAGTTTCGAACCCGGTATCCACGCCAAGCGCACTGACCTTGGGCTTGCCGAGGATCGGAATGGGCTGCGGCAGCAGACTTTACAGCTGCCGCGAACCAAGTGCGCCGTCGGCGGGGAGCAAATCCACTGGGGGCAGCAGGATGGGATCACGGACCCTGTCGCCGCCCTCGCGAATCACCTCCGCATCAACAGCGTGGGTGACAACGAACACATATTCGCGTACACGGCACGAAACGGGGAAGTATGGCCGCTGACACGCAAGGCCTTTCTCGACCGCATCCGGGCCGCCACCAGAGCTGCGGGTAGAGCGCCGCTCCAAGGGCACGGCATTCGAATCGGCGGGACCCTCGAATACCTGTTGAGAGGCGTCCCGTTCGAGGTTGTCAAGACCAAGGGGCGTTGGGGAAGCGAAGCCTTCCTGGGGTACCTCCGGAAGCACGCGGAAATCCTCGCCCCCTACATGCAGGCGCGGCCACGGCTGCAAGCGGAGTTCATCCGGTACGCCATGCCTCCGGTCCGTTGAGGTGAGCACCACTCCTATCCGGCGGGGTTCGCCTGCGCGACGCGTCGCGTTGCTCCTACCACGTTGGGTATCGCGGCTCACACACCCCGCACAGATTCCCGGACTGGAACGCCCCCTTCGGGGGCATTCGCCCGTTTCTCACCAACTTACAGACAATCTAATCAGTCTAGTACCACGCGGCTCTAGCTTAATTGTATATGCCAATTTAAGTTCTCTGTTCTCTGACCCTGGGAAACACGCAACAACAAGACGGCATAGATCGCGGTTCTGAGCTGAAGTGAGGAACGAACGTAAGCGCAAGAACTTAGTCTATGCGCGCGCGGGCGTTGCGGTGGCGGTGCAAGTTCTTCCTCGCCATCCGCACCGTCCGCTACCGAGTCCAGCATACGGCAAGCTCGAAAAGGGCCGCCGTAACTCGAATTTGCCACCCGCCCACCCAGCTTCAGCGCGATGCACTGTGCACAACAGCTCAGCCAGCGCAGACAGCGATCGCCAAGCAACTCACAGGGTCACGTGTGACGATAGCACGGACACGCGTGGCAGAACAAGGAGCAGCCGGAACAGGAAACCGGAAGCCGCAAGTAGCGGCATATCAAGCGCCAATAATAGGTGAGGCCGGGAAGGTCCGAGCACGTGCAGATGGCCCCAGTCAGCTTCGAGCCGGGGGAGGGGTGCGACGGCGGAGGAGGCTGCCGCCGCCGGGGCCGCATCAGGAAGAGCCGGAAGGGGATAAAGAGCCCGTAGAGGG